TTAGAAGTTAAATTTTCCCATAAAATAATCATTTATATAGATTAAGAACTTAGGAGCTAAAATTAAATCATCCAATTTGATCTAATACCAGTTTATTATATGCGGACAAAGTATAACATTTCTGTGAGCCTCAATATCTCAATTAGAATGGTCGGATTAAGCTATTGTAATAGGTAATAGGTACCTAGAGAATTAAAAAAAATATTTTTATTAATTTAGGCATTGAGCAGAAAGGTCTTTAAAATAGATTAATAGGCCTTAGATATAGTAATCTACAGGTTTCTATTGGATATCTTGCCAATAAGTCTCACTAATGAAATAATATCCAAGTAAATTATATTTTTCGCCACCGTTCTTATAAATTTTAAATTGATGCATTCTTATGGCCTCATTGACTTTAGTTACGGTTAATATAACCCATCAAGAAGACAAGACGCAAAGTTTTTAAATTGTTTATTTATTATGAAATAAATTCTTGTATGTGTCGTTTAAATTTTAGGGCAATTTCGATTTTTCATATTTTATCGTCAGTAAACCACAGACTATGAATATAATATATATTGTAAATTTATTATACAAATCAAGAACTTTAAAGAAACCTAATAAATTTACCTTATATACAGTATGACCATTAAAGAAACGTCAAATGATTTCAAAAATAAAGAAATATTAATTAAAACTGAAAAGCATAAAAAAAACTCATATCTTAATTTTTAAATAATATAGCCACAAATCATCAATAACATTCATTATACTCGTACAATTACATAATAAACAATTTTTGTGCGTACGTTTTGATAACTTATTATTATCATAATCATTATCATTGGCTCTTTGATTTATCTCAAGAATTGCCTAATCCAAGTCGTCTATAAGCTTTCATTTGTTCAATTGTGCTCTAATGAAGGGTAGCTTTTTATAATTAACCTAATCGAACATTAAAATATATTAATTAATTAAAAGTAATTTATTGACTACTTTTTTTTAAGTTTAAATATGAAAACAATTATAACATCATTTTTAAAACTCCCAAGGCGAACTAAACGACAAAATGTACGTTTTGCAACTACTTCATCTACTGGAGCATTGTTACCTGAACCTCAAAAAATTCCATTTGGTATTCTCGGAGTTATTTGTACGGTTGTACCTGGATTATTGATTGGCGCTACAATTAGTAAATATATGGCTAACTTCCTAGAAGAGAATGAACTATTTGTACCATCGGATGACGATGACGACGATGATTAAATTTTAGTAAAAATATTAATTATTAACATTTTATTTTTAATAATAATAATTTGTAATGTAGGATGCCATAAGTTCTCAATCTGACTTATTTTTAATATATTTTACCTATTTCTTTGTAATTACTTAAAAAAATAGGATAATAATATAGTTTTGCTTACAACATTAAGCTATCATCAAACTATTATATTATCTAAACTCTATTACTTATATTCATTAATTATGCAAATAAACTAATTTTTTAAGTATAAATATTGAAACATTTTATGGTAATTTTAAAACAGTTTATTTTTAGTAGCTTGTTTTGTTTTGTGATAGTAATTTAGGTAATTATAATTTTTGTTATCAGTTT